TGACCTAGACTTTGCCGATAACGTGCATCGCATGGGAAAGATGTAGTAATTTCCACGTGCAATATATGTATATTCAAAGCAATAACTATTACAAAAATTCTATAGACATCGAGAAGATATAAAAACAAAAAATGGTAACCGACATCATTGCATACAACGAATCACAAAAGAGCAAGAAAAAATTCCTGAGGCATACCTGTCATCTTATTGTAATCATATTTGTTGCTTCTTTCGTAAAGCATAGCTATAAATTCTCTCACACCCACTACAAATATTCTACCATCACTGACGAACATAGGTAGTCTGACTTAAATTCTAAAAGTAAATAAAGACCTTACAGATAAAGAGTGCAAGCCTAAAGCTATAACAAATCGTGAATAACGATAATGATAAAGTGAAGGCCAACAAAAAGATCTGAATATAATACTTGAGATATCAAGGTAAAGTATTTTATTAAATATTAAAATTGTCACATCAGAGGCGTGAAAGCCTGAAAACTTTGCAAGAAGTAAATAATACAAGGCAAAAAGAAAATCAAGTTGGAGCATTAGAAGTTGAGACACCGGGACTACTTTTCCGATTCACCATAAAAGTGGATTTAAACAGGTCCACAACCTCGATAGAAATTATTTAACCCGAATAAATTTCTTGCTTGATCCATAACTCATTCTTGGACTCTGAACATGTATCACATAGTCTGGTGAAGAGCATCAAGAAGCGCTCCTCAAGTGAGCTGCAGGAGTGGGGGGCTTCACCAAGAGAAAAAATATCAGAAAATCTCCCTCATCTAGAATAAAGGGGTCGAACCAAGAGAAGATTGGGTGAAGATGAAGAAGCCCCTGGTTATGAAATTTTTTCGAGGATGTGTGCTCAGATGAAAAAAAATCGAAAAATAAGTTAAGATATAGTTTTCAAGACTTGTGCTCAAAACATAGTTGGAAAACCGTTATATATGCCCAAGACCTTGGATGAAGCGGGGAAGGGGAAACATTTAAATGGTTAATGACAACTAAATAAAATTCATAAAATGGTAGCCGAAGTCCTATTCTTGTAAACAAACAATCATATAATGGGGCCAACCAGTCGTTAAAGAGATGCATATCTTCTTCTCCTCTAACACCTGAAGGACCAAGCACTTTGAAGAATCACTGACCATAATTAAAACTAAGGGAGTACCCGCTATCTTTTCATCCACCCAGTCATACATCGGCTTGTCCCTCCGACCCCAAAGATTCAAGTGTTCTAACACCTCAGTGTCGCTAGGCTCGTGACCTTTAGTCCTCAGATGAACTTGAATAAAATCTTTAGCGCATTCCATCCTTAGAAAATTGGTTTGTACCCCCTCTTCCAAAAGAACAGAAGGGGGAATTGGGACCTCAGTGCAATTTATTTCTCTGTATACATTTGTTATAATGACATCTAACAACCTATAAGAAGAAATTTCTTCCTCCAAAGAAGCTTCAGATATCCCTTCTGACCCATAATCGTCAGATATGGATATAACTTCCGACTCTACGTGATCACTGTTATGGGAAGGATGATGAGAAACATGGGATGACCCAGATGAAGTTTCCACTTTAGAGTCACTTACTAAATTGGCGGTGTCACTACTATAAAATGCATAAACAACAACGCCATGATCACCACGGTTCTTCACTACACTGTGGTGACATCTCTAAAATAAGCCGCTCCCATATTCTTTTGTTTCTAATTAGAAATTATTTGTATATAACAAAGGTTGAGAAGCCAACTTTGGTAAAACCATTAAGTTTCATGGGTTCGAACCTCAACGCCATCATATATATTATTCCTTTAATGTTAAGGCGCGTCTTTTCTTTTTTATTTATTTTTATATAAAAAACTTTAAGGAATATAACTACGGTTGATATGTTCGACCGTTATGATATATTTATAACAAATAAATACTTATCAATACGGTTAGTAGAGAACCGTTGTGAAATAATTTACCCATATATAAGCGAATTAACTCACACCTATTGACAGTAGCGCCGTTTCCTTCAAAGTGAAACCCTCGCAACCATTTTTTCTCTTCTTCTTCGCCATTATCCGCGAATCTTGTGCTGCATACGTTAATGTATTCTTCTTTTTACATCTTATTGTTAGATAGTTCCCCATTATCTCGTTTATTGCATATTGTCTTTGTTGATTAATTGTTCTCATTTTTTTAGATTCGTCTTCACTACCTTAATAAAGACCATACTTTGACTTTGGTACATATTGTTTGAGTAGCTATGGAAAAAGTACAAGAATCATGAAGCTATGATGGAAAATTTATCCACTTTGTACTTCTTCTTCATAGCTTCACAAACTAAATGTTTTTCATACTTTGTTGATAAATAAATTTGCGTTTTCATATGTTGGTACAATGAGAAACAAGAACAACACATTTTAGTTAATGAAGAAACAACAGCGACAACAAACTTCATCTAGTTTGAGATATAATGAGAAGAAATATAAGAAATATGAAGTTGTTGTGTAAGCTTCTTCCTCCTTATATTTCTTTTTCATTTCTTCACAAGCTAGATGAACTTTAGAATTTATTCATGTTCCACGATTAGTTTCAATAAAAGGTGCATCCTGAAAATTTATAATATATCTTTTTCATTGCTCACAAATTTATAATATCTGGTTCTGTTGTATGATGTTGTTTGAGTTTATTATATTCTATGTAGATTATTTATTTCACTAACCCTCACTTAAAATACATTCATTTAAATTGACATAGATACTTATAACCGGCAAATTAAATTGTATTTGAAAATCAAATTATATCAATCATTGTTTCCAAATTGCATGCGCCTCATCGTTTATTTGATGTTCTTTTACATATAGATTATGGTATAATGACGTGCCTCCTCAGAAGCATCGTTGTCTTCGATTATAGTTAAATTTTATTAACTATAATTTTATAGATAATCCCTCATTATCAGCACTAATGATCGTAAAAATTATAATTATGAAAATTACGATGATAAGTGATGATGATGAGGCAGATTATCTAATGTGTTGTTGTTATGAAATGCACGATGAGACACATGCAATCAGAAAAAACAATGGTTTGTTTAAGTTGGGTTTCAAGAATAGCTTAATTTTCAGATTATAGACTTCTTCATCAATTTGAAAGCTTGTAATTATTTAATGAGGTGTATGGAAAACAAGCAATCTACATATTATATAATAAATGTTGGGTACTTTTCACAACGGTTATCTATTGTAACAGTGATCAAAGGTCATTTATGTTTTACATAATTTACTGTTGATGGGTTTCGAACCCAGTACTTAAGTGTATATATCATAATGGTTTATAAGTATAACATGGTGGTACGTCCTGCCTTTCAATAACGGTTTCCAGACCGTGGTAGAAACAATGAACTTACAACCACACCCTACTTAACAACGACACGACCCGCGTGATGGTACCCCTTTTCCAACTATTGTGAAAGCGGTTTTCGGTAGTAGTGTGTTATCAATCATCCTAACAAAAAGTGGAAAATGTTTAAGAAAAAGCTCGATCTAGAAAGGTACATGGTGGTAAGAAGTTGATGAAGTGGGAGGAATGAAAAAGATGAAAGCTTTTAGCAGAGCTCTAAATCACTTCTAGTGATGCTATTAGGAAAAAGTAACAAAGACGTCTCTCTCAAAAAGCAATTGAAAGCTTGAAAGCTAAAAGGTTGTAAAACTCCGTAAATATTTAACTCACCCTATTTATAAACTACGACAACTGAAAGATCAAGACCAACTATGAACAGGGATCACAAGATCAACAGTTAGAATTCCACTCATGGAAACACATCAAACTCAAGTGCACTTAAGCACTCTATGATCTGCGTCATACCTTAACTTGTCAGGTCATCACATATGTCAAGAATGGATGACGAAGCATCTCAATAATAAACCGCATTAAATACACCTCTCTCACATTACTTTTCAAAACTGATCCCAAGTGTTTTAATTCTACTTCACATTGGATCATGAAACGAAGGTCGTTCAATAATATTAAGGCTTACCCCAACTCTTTTAGTGTCCATCTAAGTCGTGGAGGCAATTGTTCTAGATCGGCCAACGACACAATCCATTTCAGGCTCACTCTATTCGACCTAAATATAAAAACAATTCACATGTTATGATAAGGTACACTATCTCTAATCTCCAATTTTACTTTACTCGTCTTGAACCTTGAAATGACTTGAGCGTTGAAGTACTAACCATGCAAGTCCACCCGACACCACCGTAAAGAAGATGAGATTCACCGTTCAAAATCAATAGTTATCAACCTCTCATAACTTCTAGTTCTATCGTGAGATTAAAACATCCATTTCCGATTCTCAAACGAAACAACTATAAAGTTCAAATTGATTTTGATATAAAAAATTTTAACAATAAAATTATATACGAGTTTAATATGGATGATTCATTTTTTTAGAATAATGTAACAATAATTTAGAATTTAATCAAATCCAAATTATTTTTATACAAAAATTAAAATAATATTGGATTTTGTGTATTTTTTCAAAAATTAAACTGTAATTTAAATTTACTTAAAAATTTAATTTTATGTAATTTTGCTTATTGGTAGAAATTTATCATCAGTGATAAAATTTATAAAAGTTTGCATTGCTTATTCTTCACCAAATATTCAATTGTACTCCTAAGTTTTTTTATCTAAAGATAAAAGTTCAATATGCTATGGTTTATTTTACATTTCAAATTTTGATGAACGTTATTATTTTTCTATTTTATTACATCATTCAAAAAGTTTACTATTAAGAAGTACATATTGTTGTATATTCCTAACTTTTTTTTAAAAAGTATACTGTATGTGTACTTAATTCCTTACAAAGACCCTTTTATACTTCAAGAATCCTCTTTTCTCTCTTCTTCTTCATCTACACACACCACAAAATTCCCTCTCTCCTCTTTCTCTCTCTCTCTCTCTAAGAATAAAACAAATTATTTATCCACAAAAACTTAACAAAATCATGGGCAAGGAATGGAATTGGGTGGGAAAATCATCCAAAAGAAGTGTTATAGTTGAAGAAAATCATGAAACAACACCTAGTGGATGCATGTGTGCTGTTTTTCGGTTCTTTGATTTTCATCATTTTTCTAACTCAATAAACCATCAACAACAAATCACTTTCAAATCACCTTCTTCAACTACTATAGTCCCAAAAGGTATAATAATAATAATAATAATAATAACAATAATAATAATAACAATAATAATAATAATAATAATGTTTTTTTTTTATATTTAATGTTTAATTACTTTTTTTTTTCTTTATTTGTCTTTTTCTCTGTTATTTGTTAATGTTGTTGTACAGTTTCAGGTGGTGAAGCTCCTAGGAATAGCTTGGAATCTGAGGATAGCATTGTTTCAGGTTCTCTATCAAAAGAAGAAAAGTTTAAAGTTCCAGTAAGTATATTAATTACTTGCCACTCTTTTACATATGTTCACATATTAATATTATAGTATAAATAAAAATATATATTTGACATTTATAAGAAATTTATGCGTTGTATTAAATATATTTTGTTTATTTATTAAAAATATTGTCAATTTTATTTTTTGAAATTAATGTTAATTTTAATTGGTTAGAAGGGTATGGAAATGTAATGAAAATTTATAATACAGAGATGAAAGAATTTTTGAAAAATGAAATTTTAGAAATAAATAACTAGTGTTTTTGACCTTTTTAAAATATAAAAAAAAAAGATTAATTTTTTTATATATGACACATTTTAATTTTTTAATTAATTTAATTTTTAAATTTAATAAAAATTTCAATTATTTTGTTTTTACTCATTAGGAAAATTAATGTTATCATTTTTAAATACACCTGTTTTGATCTCTCCGTCTTTTTTGAAGTAAATTTAGTGTCATAATATATTTTAAATAACTTGAACTTGTAGGAAATACTTTTAAAGTTTTTTAATTTTAATTGCAAAAATTATTTATTTTTATAATTTAATTAATGAAAATTAAATTATTTATTTTAATGATTCTCTATAGTTAAATCTAATATATATTTTATAAAAAAAAATCACAATAGTTAAAAAATGAAGGGTGAACTAAAGCAATATTTCGATTTGGAGAAGAAAAATCTAAATTCTATATTTTTTTTTTATATAATGATTTATATTTTCAATTCATTATTTCAAATTCACACCCAGTTGAGTTCTACTTGAGTTTTAGTTTGAGTTTGTTTATTCTGTAAAGCGAGTAATGATGATGTATTATAGTGTGTAAAAGTAATGATATTGAATTTGACCCTTTTATTTATTTTTATTGTTTCTTTTATTTTTGAAAATTCAAAAGAATATACAAATCAAAACTAAAAGGAGCAATGGTGGAAATTTGACTGATTTGTCCTCAGAAATCAGCACTTCATCATCACCAGGAACAAAGACACCAACTTTGGTAGCAAGATTAATGGGGTTAGACATTCTTCCAAATTCAAATTCACCCTGTTTTTCTTCACCACTTTCAGCATTAAATTCACAAGGTAAGAACAATATTATTCAACATCTTCACCAACTTAGAACCAAACCAAGGAACAGCATTGATGGTAGTGAAATTACAAGACTACCCTCATCTAGAAAATCAGATTTTGATCAACATAGACTATCTCTTCAAATCAACAAAGCCAATAGTTTTGGTGATGAGGATTTTGAGCTGCCTAGATTGTCATTTTCAAAGAAGAAAGTTGATGAGAATGGTTCTAAAAGTTCAAGTCACTATGCTAAGCAAATTGTGAAACAAGTTAAGGAAAGTGTTGTGAGTAGAAAAGTTGGTCAAGACATTACCAACAATCTCAAAAGCATGCAGGTGAACACTTCACAGTTTTAAAATTTTAATAACTAATTATTTTATTCACACATTCTACATTTATGATCAATAGATGAATCAAATAATTTATATTTTATATATGTTTTAAATATGAATAGTTTGTTTTCAAATAAATTATGGATGTGCTAACTAAATGAATATGTCATATTATATAGTTCGACTTTTTATATTCAATAATTTTATTTTTAGGATATCAATATCAAACAAAACACTAGAGTAACCAAGAAGTTACCAAGCAATGATCAATTACAAGGAAGAGAAGAATTCTTAGGACAATTAAGAGTCAAGAAATGTCCCAAAGCATCATCATTGAAAGATCCAAACCCTAATTCATCATCTTCACCAAAGATTAGATTCATTGACAACAAACACAAGCCAAACACAACAACAAAAACAACATCAAAAAATCAAAACACAAAACCAAAGGCTTGTGCATTGAAACAAGAGCAAGAATCAAAGGACAAGAAACTAGTCTCATCAAATTGCAAGAAAGCTACAAATGAAAAGTTTAGTTCAAGATTCAAAAGGCCTCCACAAACATCAGATATAATCGCTCGGCCAACATCGAATTCTCGAGCAAATGACATCAAAAGTAATACCAAATGCAAGAAAACTCAACCATTGTCAAGCAATCTTGTCAACAACATCAATGCTCTTTCAAATGTTGACTCTGTTAAGACAGAGTCCTCTCCTCTGTCCAACAAAATTCCTCAGAATCAGGTACCGATTTCGCATAATTGGATTTTATATTGTATTCATGAAATTTTCATATTGTTTTTATATTAAAAATCAAAAACACAGTCACAGGTATCTGAAACTCAAGACTGCAAACTCCAAAGGTACAAACCAGAATTTCAGTACATTGCAGAAATCATAAACAAACATGTCACAACAACAAAAACAATGTCTTTTCACAAATTGTTCTCTTCAACACACTCACTTGACCCATCAATCTTCAACCTTCTCGAACAAAATTCCGACGATAAAGATCAAAACTTTGGCACAAAAAACCAACTGGGTCAACGTTGGAATCGGAAATTGATGTTTGATTTGGTGGATGAAGTTCTAATGGAGATTTTGAAGCCAAAGAGTAGTGAAAAAAAGCTATGTTTTTTAGATGAGTTTTGTGAGAAGTGGACAGTTATGGAGTTAACAGAGAAAGTTTGGAAAAGGGTTAGGGGATTTCCATGTGCTAAGTGTGAAGTTTTGGATGATATTGATAATTTGATTGAATCAGAAGATATGGAGAAAATGATCAAGTTTGAAGGTGAAGATGAAAGAGAAGGGTTGGTGAGAGAGATTGAAGGGAACATATTAAACACATTGGTGCATGAAACTATTTTGGTTATGAGTATGTTTGAATGAATTGCCATTTTAGTTTTCAAATTTATGAAATTTTGAACTCATCTAAAATGTAGGATTCTTATACAATTGTCACTTGTATTAGATACAAAAGTAGTAAGTTATACTAGTTAGTTTTATTGGATAATCGGTTTTTTAGTAGCTATATAACTCTTATGTATCTCATGATGTAATTAATATTACTTCATTATTAATATAATTTTAATGTTAATGTTAATTTTTCTCCAATTTTTTTATCAAAGATTTCTATCAAGAATATTATTATTTGTTTGTGAGAATTTAGAAATTTTACAGAAGTCATACCACATTTAAAATTAGAGAAAAGAGGATTTATTAAAATTTATTTGGTAGTGGAATAAATAATTATTGATATTTTGATGAAGACATTCATGGAGATCTTTTTTTATGAGGTAACGACAGTTCACTCGTGATCAAGGAGGGTGCTTGCAAAAAGATTAGTCATTGAAAACCAATATGAGATTGAGGTTGACTTTGTAAGTCAAGGTCACACTTATATAGTGGAGGAAGTTACAATTGTCTCTAGGATGTTTGGAGAGTGTGTGGCTGTTGGATGAAGATTAACGACTCTGATGGAGTGAGAGGTATGCTCTTGTGCGGTACTATGTGGTATAATTTTTTTTTCTTAATTTACTTTCCTGAGGATATCTTCATTAACCCAAGGTATTTCCTTTTCCTCTTTCTATATTTCTAAGTTTTCATTTGCATTTGCATATAGAAAATCTAGGAAACTCATATGTAGGAATCTCATTTGTAGAACAAATTGATGCCGTTTCTACCATTTAATTAGTAGTAGTTAGTCATTGTGAGTAAGAAACCTTATCTTTCCTAGACATGACAATGGGGCAAGCCGGGATGAGTTTTACTCCTCATACCCAAAATCAAATCTCAGTTAAATACTCATTTTCCGCCCCAAATCCAAACATGGATAAATAATTGAACACAAAATCCGTCCCATATTGGTTCAAGTATCATCACCCTCATCCCTGTATCTGATTTTTTTTTTTTTGAAGTTGATATAGTCCATTTCTTCAAAACCATTATTTGTCACAGTATAATAAGCATTAACATACATGAGAAATAATAAATTAAAATAACCTGAAAAATTTTCAAACATATATTTCAAATAATAAAGTACAAATCAAAATATCATTGTATTAACCAAACAATTAATATTAGAAATTATCAACGGGGCGACTTCAGCGATGGATTTGTGGCGAGTACTAGTGTCTCCATTACCCTTTCTCAACCATATCTTAAAAAATTAGGGATAATTCAAACCTAACCTCGAACCAAGCCAAAGGGGATTTTCCATGTCAAACATATGTCTGGTTTAGGCGCATCCCCACATATATAGATATTGTTGCCATGTCTTATCCTATCAATATTACTATGAAATAGGTTGGGTTAGGATTTAGTTTTTGGGAAGTTAAGTTGAAACCTCATTTTAATTTATGTTAAAAGTATCATGATTGGACCTAATTAACAAAGATTTGTTAGGGGCCTAGAGTGCCAAGTATATGACTCATGATAGTTATTTTTTGGTCTTTTAAAGGTAACAATGAAATGGTGAAGAAGATGTCATCACTGAATTTTGAATTCTCCACTGAAGCTAAATATTATTACTGGGTGGATGATGAAATCTTGGGAATTTGGTTCTTTTCTACCTCAGATTAAAGGTTAGACCTTTCATTCCAGGACGTAGGGCTATCCTCAGATTGACAAGAGACTATTCTTGGAAATGAAATCCAAATCTTTAGCCAATTTAAGGTATATGGTTCATATGTACGAATGCATGTTCTCCTAGACGTGGGTCATGTTGAATTTTAAATATTTCAAGATTGACGGGCTTAATCACTTGGAGACTTCACATTCTAAGTTTCATCTAGTGAGTTATCCATATGTAGAGTATTTCAAGTTTTGGTTTGAATACAACAAGAGCTCGCATACACCGACTCTATTTAACCATTTTTCCATGTTTTAAGGAAGTCAAATGACCCCCGCCTCCCTTAAAGGCTTGTTTTATTTAAGTAGGGTCATAAACAATTTGAAGTATACATGGATTCATTTAAGACATTTAAATAAAAATTCTTCTTTGTTGTGCCCCTCAATCACAATGCACATGAAACACTCTGTGAGATCCCATAAAGGGGAATTAGGTAAAGGGGGCATGAAGTTTGATTTAAATAGACATAGAGATAGCACAAAGGCCACAATATCCAATGATTTTGTTAAGGCCCACATGAGTAGTGAGAAAGTGGTTGAGAGCTTTACTGGACGACAAAAATGTGAGGGAAAGCTACCAAAGTGGTGGTCTCATAATCAATTTTCTTCCTACCTAGACCAATAAATATGTGAAATCAGTCTAATAACTTACTTGCCCGTGTATATGGATCATGGTTAGCCCAGACCAGTCTTGGCCCCACAAGAGAAAAATTGTGTAAACCTAAAAGGAAAGAAATTGGTGATATGGGTGACGAAGGGGCAGATACATCATAAACATGTCATCTAATAGAAGGTTCTATTGGCTAAATATTAGGTGTAAACCCACCATATTCAAATCCAAGAAAAAAAGAACATTAGACTATCAGATCCATTACTACAAATATACCCATTTTACCTCTGACACAAAAGAGGATTTTACATCGGTTACAGAGGCGAGGTAATGAAGGACGTCATAAAAAACTACCATCTTACCCCTCATATTCTGAATAACCAAGGGAATAGGTGAAAAGGTCATTAGTTCGACCCCCAGGAACAACATTTTTTATTTTCATAACTATGTAGCGCACGTCGTATACCTCTCTGTTTTAGGTAATAACTGAGGGGGGAAATTTTCAGTATTTACGTTGGATTATGTTAATAACCGAGGGGTATAACCAATTTTTTTGTCAAGAATCTCATTTTGACTGACCTGATTAATTTTTTACACATAGCCTACAAATTGTATGATAGAATTACATCAATTGTATTTTATACAAAACATAACACATAATACCAAATTTATATTGTTTACAAAACCAAATGTATAATGCTTATAATGACATTTAGGGCACATAAAACCTCTACTAAGAGAACCTATAAGTATTTGAACTTTCACATATTTGCACCTATAATGACAAAACCTCTATACAATGCTTACAACAACTAAGAAAAATTATTTATTATGAGTTTCATGATAAGATAGGATGGCACCGACTCAATGTGATCGAATGTCATCTATATATTCATGTGGGAATGATATTTTGTCGCTAAACTCTTATAATTTGAACAAAATTTAAATTATGATAAGCTAACAACAACATTAACTTAACAAATATACATAAATTATATGTATATTGATAGTTAATACCTTAGTCTATGAATTGATAATGCCTCTGGAGACAATATTAAACATATGTCTTATAATATAGTATCCATATTCATAGTCGTTGGGTTGTTTTTGCGACTATAAATAATTTTCATATAGTTACTAATTAATGCACACAAAACACAAGTAATACATTCACGAAAATAAAAGAATATCAAAAAGAACAAGTAATACTTTCATGTGGTTCTATGAACCTTGGCTTTCTACCAGCTAAATTACGTTTCACAAAATTGTATTCCTCCATAGCTCTATATGTCGGTAAAAATTAAACATGAATAAAAGCTATTCAAAACTAAAGGTAAAATTTGAGTATTACAATTAATACCACTTACCTGCTAAAAATATTTTGCATATCTTCATCAAGATGATAATGTAACGAGCATAAAAAACTACAGTACTTTGCCTCAGACATAAAATGATTAGTTGTCAATGGTTCCAACATAAACACTCAGAATAGTTAATAATGTGTATAAAATTGATTTATAAATGAAAACACAAATTAAAGCATATACTTACTTATAGATAAACGGTTTCATGTAACATTCTTTATTCTCCTTAATCAACTTATCTTGTATGTGCATCATGATAATGTTTAGTGCATTACCTCAAAATTGAATGTTCAATGAATCTACGAAACAATATTTTTTCCCAATTTTATTTCAACACACATCTCATGCATGACGCTAATTAAAAATTAATGCAAATATAAAAAATTTATGTTAAAATATGATAACAAGGACTATAAATTGAAATCACATAAAAATTATACTTACAAGCACCACAACTGTATTACGCGAATGTTCAGTCAATCATCTCCCTTCAAAAATTACATAAGAGAATTCTTATGAAGCATGTATTATTTTTCTGGTTCATGTTTTAATTTAAACTCGTTGAATTTTGGAATCTCTTCTATCATCCTTAATAGTCTCTGAGTGTTATCTAGTTGAGGTGATGTGTGTTAGATGACGACAACTTATCTAGAAGGGGTCAATAGATACCTAGAGATGTCAATGGGGTAGAGAATATTCGTAGGATGCTTCTCCGCTCCCCGCCCTGCCTCCCAATGTTTTTCATCCCCATTCCCGATCCCCGCCACGGGGAATATTTTTCCCCATCCCCATCCCCACAGATCCCCCAGAGAATCGGAGATCCACGGGAATCGAATGTTAAAAAATTTATCTACTTTTCGATCAAAACTATAACACTAGTATTTCGTTATTTTTTTCTTTTTTTTCAAAACATATATTTTTCATCTTTATTTTTTTTTAAATAAAGACACATCTTACATCAATAACAAAAAAAATGCAAAATCACTTGTTGTTATAAAAACATATCCACTAATTTACTAATTGAATGGAATATATGTTACTAATTGGAGTATAAAGAAGTTGAAGAGCAATTACCGTAAGTACAATGAACAAAAGAGAATGATTTTTGTAAAGATGATAAGAAAAAATGATATGAGCAATGAAGGAGACAAAGAGAATTGGGAAGAGAAGAAGAGGAGGCAGTGTGTACAATGTATGTAATGAGTTCACTTTTTAGGGTTGGGTACTTGGGTAGTGAAACAATACATAATACCATAAAAAAATAAAATAAAATGATTCACTAATGA